TATTTTCTGCTCATTACCAGCACAAACAAAGATTTGGACTTATTAACACGGCTAACAAATTAGTCAAAAGAAAACATGTCAACTTTTTAAGGCAAAAGAAGTAAAACCATCAATTTGTTAAGCACAAAAGAAATAAAAGCTATCAATTTCGCTATAGCACGAAAGAAATAAGAGCCTATGCGCAGTTAGGTAAGTTTCAAAGCAAATTTAATATCTGTTTTATTCAAACCGCCCATTGCTTAATTCTCCAACTTTCGGACAACTATTCTTTAAATACAATTTTAGGACTACATCAACTTGATACGCAGTTTCACGGGATCCGAAGTACAAATTATGAATTATTCAAGAATTCTCACAGAAAGGGGCCCGGCTATGCTTCGATATAAAGAAAAAAATGTAATAAAGGTAGGGCGAAGTTTAACTATAATGTGTGAATTTTATGATAAATGTTTCTATTGATCAAAATGATACGAATGTTTGCTAATCATATTCTTTGAAGTCGAAAATAATAATGTTATGCTATCATTTATTGGGAAGGCAGTGCCGATTTTGATATCACAAGGTAAGAATTTTGTAAGAATTTTCGAAGACAAGTGGAGTAATCTGCTTCGTGTTACACATAACGATAATTAAAATTTCATGATTAAAATAAACGTGACTTTGGATCGCCACCAGAAAAACTATCACGTGTTTGATTGAGTTATAATATCAAAATATTAGTATCGAAATGCTAATAATAAAAAAATGTTGTAAAAGTCATTCTATTTAATAAAATTGGTACGGTAATTCACAAAGCATCAAAACGTCAAAATGAATTTGTTTATAGGCTGTATACTCGCGAAATAACACGCAGGGGTGTTATTTCAGAAATTTCGGCTTTAATTAAACATAATATGGGCTGTGGTTCAAACAACGCGCACGGGCTTGTTTACAGTAATAGGTGTTATTTATCATTTAGTCAATGAAAATGGTGATGGATTTTTATTTTATAAATACTGTAGAAATTTATTTTGATATTTACATGAATTACTTTATCAAATTTACTAATTTTAAGAAAGATAAAATAGGACTGGTGAACATTTTCTACTATTAATATTTAACCAATTTATGTGGATAATTTTCCATTAAAATTTTATTTTAAGAATCTTATAAATAATCATTTGTGCTATTACATTTGAAGTTTTATTATGCAGTTGTATTTATTACTTTTATTTCGGTGATTTTTACGATCATCCCGATTTTTGTCATTCTCTTATATGTCATGCACATGTACATGTTTAGTGCATGCACATACATGTACATGTATCTAAGATGATATTAAAATTCGGCGTTCTGTGTTTTCAAACTGATTAATGATAAACATTTTATATCATTTATCCACATAAAAAGGCAAATAACAAACTTACAATGAATACTGACTTCTTATTGACTTCACACTCCAATAAGTTGGCAAAGTTTTATGAAAATGCCAAATATTGCGATATTTCGATTATTGTTGGAGATATTCGAAATACTGAGCGAACTTTTGCTGCGCATTCATCAATACTAGTGGCGCAATCGGAATATTTTGCTATTGCTCTTTCTGATGCGTGGGTAAAACGAGAACCTAATAAACTGATCGTCTTTAAGAAACCAAATATTGAACCGCGCATCTTTGAAACTTTATTAAGGTAATCGTTAATTGATGATAGTATTTTAAATTTATTAAATTGAAATTAAAATCTCTATGGTTATACATTATACATGTACATGTATAAGATATATGTATAGTGGTAAGATTGATTTGTCAGATCATGGAGTGACAACACTTTTAGACCTGTTGGTCGCCGCTGATGAATTGATTCTTGAAGATTTAATTGAATATATTCAAGAATATCTTTTGGAGCAACATTCTGAATCCTTAGTTGAAAATTTTGTTTTGATTAATCAAATTGCTTTCCAACATAATTCCTTTGTCAAGCTTCAAGAATTCTGTATAGAGATCACATGTAGAAATCCAGCTGCGGTTTTTCAATCCGATGATTTTGCAAATCTTCAAGAAACAGTAATCACCACTTTGCTCAAACGAGATGATTTAAATCTCAAAGAGATTGAAATTTGGGAAAAGATTATTGGGTGGGGAATCGCTCAAGTGTCAACTTCTGGCAACGTCGATTTGTCGATTCCAGTGGAACAATGGTCACAAAACGAATTCAATCAACTCAGCTCTGCACTCAAAAATTGTATACCGTTAATTCGTTTCTTCCATATAAATTCTGTTGATTTTTATAACAAAGTATTGCCATACTCGGAAATATTGCCAAAGAAACTTTACAAAGATTTGTTGCACCATTATTTGGTACCTGGAAGTGAAAAACAACAAGCTTCACTTCATCCCACTCGCAATTCACACAACTCGATATCAAAAATTCTTTCTCGCAACCAAATCAATGAAATCATTCAATGGATCAAAGGACAAGATAAGGAAAAAAATTATCCATTTGAATTTAACCTATTATTACGTGGGAACCGAGATGGATTTACTGCTAGTGATTTTCACCGTTTATGTGATAATAAAGGACCAACCATTGTTGCTATCCGTGTCAAAGGTTCTAACAAAATTATCGGTGGTTACAATCCCATTGAATGGAAATCTCTTAATAAATGGTATAATGCTGAAGTAAAGGGCAGCTTTTTATATAAATTTGATTCTAATTACGCTAATGGAGTTTTAAGTAAATATAAATCTAGTACAAGTATATATGACGATTCAAAAGTTGGTCCTTGTTTTGGAGGTGGTCATGACTTGTGTTTGTTTACTTCTTCAGGTAATTATTGCCAAAAATATTCTTATGAGTTTGCCCTTTTAGATAAACAAGGACAAGGTCAATTTAACGTTGATGATTATGAGGTTTTTCAAATTGTAAAAAAATGAATTTTTAGTTTTTTATTTTCTTATTTTATTTATTATTCGTTGCTTTTTGCATTAACTTTTCAAGTAAATTCAATATCTCATATGTAAATGTATGTGAAGAAAAAACTCGATACAGGTACAAATTAATTATATATTTGAAATCTATTTTTGCAAATATCAAAAGTATATAAAAATATTGAGCTATCGTCGTTAATAGGGCAAATCCTTTTATTGGTCTATCATATAAATTTAAAAACTATTTCACCATAGTACATGTACTCATTTTTTTGAAAATTTATATACAGTATTCATTATTTATTTCCAACTTTAACTGTATGTTATAAAATATTTTTAGCTGTGTCCTTCTGTTTTTGAAATGATGGCAAAACAAATGAATATAATGGTAAAATTTGTATGTATAGTACATATCAATTAAAACAAAATACATTATAAAAAAAAATGATTAAAGTTACATGACAATATATTTTTTCTCATAATACATGTACAATCACAAAGCATGCTATAATAAACGCATAAATACATATAAAATATTGTTATCTTAACTTCCTTTCTTTAAAATCTTTAACTGTTAACATATCATTACACTATTCTCTTAACTTTTTTTTAATTCTCTCAACACGGAAAATTGCAGGATCAATTAACATTTCACAATAACAAATAACAATTAATATTTTATATTTTGCGATTACTTGTTCTAATAATAACTGTAATTGTAATTCTCAAACCAATTTCATTATTAACTGACACCTGATATTGATACTTTCCAAGTTCATTGATTCTTCCAGCATTTGTGCTTTAGTTATAATTAAACAATAGTAAAACATGTCATTAAAGAAGTGAAACATCTCTAAAAGAATTTCTTTTAGTATTAAACTAAAATTAAACAAAACATAGCAAATACAAATTTACTGTATTCCCATTTTGTATATAAGGGGTCTTCAAACAAGAACAGTATGAAACAGAAATAAAAAACAAAAATTAAGAACATTTAATTTTTCTTTTTTCTTGCAAAAATGCTGTCTGTACATTTCAAAGCTTGCGTACAAGTGGCTTATGCCCTTTTGTGCCTAACATAAATTGATAGTGACAGGACTCAACTTTAATTAAACCATAATGAGTTTTAATGTTCTGATTGTTGGCATTAGATAAGTCCAACTGATGAATTTGCTTAGTGCTTTGCTTTTGATTATTGGTTTGTTGGCTGCGTCAATAAGTCCATCTTTTTTTATTATTGTGTAATTATTGTTATTGACTATGCAAATTTACTTACCTCACCCCTCTTTTAGCCAATCTATATCATAGTTCGCAAAAGCTATCACAGGAAGCCTCTTTTTTTTACGTGCATACCAAAGAAACAATGAATTATGGGTAAAAAAATATTAAAAAATAATCTGTGTTTGTAAGGATGAAATGTAAAGCTTAAACATCTACAATAAATTTTATTTCAAAATAGCAACTATGCGATCATGTAGAATTGCATTTAGGTGAGTTTTTTTTGTATGCAGAATGCTTTCTTGCAACTTTCAGCATCAAACGCATCTAATATATGTTTTTCGAATCTAAAACACTTAATAACTTGCTTCACCTATTTCAGGATATTTAAAATAACTGTAGTACTAAATTGTAATAAGCACAGTATCCATCTTCAAATTATTTTCAGTTTTTGAATAGAATCTCAACATTTTTATAATAAAACTTGTATCCCACGGGAAGCATTTATAGATGTCATTTAAAAGATAACACCTAATCTGAAAGTAATCATTGATTCGATTATGTTAAACACGCGTATATTATTAGACCATTACTTATTCACTTCTTTAATAATGTTAGTTTAGCGTATAAAGGACCATAAAAATTCGACGATGATAGGCAAAGGTGCTATTTACGAGAAGTTCCTTTTATTGCCATTAGTAGTCGATACAAAATTGATGGCTCTACATGTACATGAGTTATCGAATAAAATTTTTAGCATTTCAGCATAAAATAATAATTGCTTTATTAAGACAATAATAGATTTCTAACTACAACAATTTTTTGTTGAAGAACGCTTGCTTTCATCGTGTATTTATAATACAGCGACAATTGCATGTCGGTTTCAGCTACGATCTTTTATATACACATTTTGTCTTGCCCAATCATAGCCGAGCTCGCGAAAAATAATAACCTCAAGGAGTACAAGAAAGGGAAATTGTTCCCGAATCCGATACACTTACCATGTGACATTAAAGCTCAACAACAAAAACTAGTCAAGAATCGTGAACAGGGAAGCAGTACTTTAATTATAATTTATTTTAAAAGGTAATGATCTGTAATCTTAAATTAGGTGGTCGGATACTTTTGACCGGGGAGTGTACATATATACTACATGTATATCGATACAATCCTACTATTTTAGACAGAAAGACTAACCATTTTCTTCAACTTTTATGATAAACTTTCGCTCTTGGAGAGAAAATTTTATGTGTCACGTTTGTTTGTTATTATTTACATAAAATTGTACTGTACTAACAATTACATAGCGATATCAATGTCAGTTCTGTATTATATACAATGATATTAAATTAAGTTAACAACGTGTCAGAGGGACCAATCGTGTGTAAAGATTATAAAAAATCACATGTTTGTATTAGCAATTTTATCTCGGTCGCATCATTCTCGGAGCGAAACGCTTTTCCTGCAATTATTGTGATTCTTGATCTTATAAAAGATTAACTGAAATTTTATAATTTTATTTCTATATAAAACTAAATAACAATAATTTTCATAATGATAATGGCTTAGATCCGAAACTTAAAGTTTCTCACAATTGGCTGCAAAAAAGAATATGCTTTCATATAATGTTATCGATGATTATAACAATAGAATGAAGAATCAAATGTATTTTTTAAAAAAATATTATTAAGATTTTCCAAACTCCCTCAAAATTATTTATGTAATATTCTCGCATTATTTGATACATGATAAAATCTCCAATGCCATTATAAACTATATACATGTAGTTGTACTTAAGTTATACAAATCAATTTTGCAACGATAAGATGGATACAGAAAACTGGTTGTGAATGATAGTTTAAAGTATAGCTGGAGAACTTCTTTTGAGTTGCAAATAAATTTAAGATAAATTTCAGTCTTATATTTTTTTAATAGTTTGGCTGGCTTCTAGACTTCAAAAATTCTTTTCACTATATCTATTAACTAAAATGCACATGGGAAGAATTGAAAGACAAGCTGGAATAAACACACTTAGAAATCATCACCATACTTCTGCCAAAAAGTGATACTATCATTACCAACAAAATCACTTTTACTATTAAAGATAATAACTTCAATCTGTGAAGAGAGAAATAAGCAACGTCTCATCTTTCGAGATCATTTAAGTGATGCTTATTTCCGAAAGAATATGATAATCAAAAATTTGTTATAAATCTTTATAAGAGATCTGAGATAAATACAGTCAATAAGAAAAAAAATATACTATTAATGCATATACAGTGGCGATCAAAAGTAATGCAACGCAAAATTAAAAATCATTAAATCATGATATATTTATAAGTAGCTAACAAAATTTAAATAAAATTAATAAATATGGTACATTAATAGTGCCAGTTTTATTTAATAAAATTTAATTTACTATTATTAAACACAATTTCAAGATAAATATGTAAACTTGCACAAATTAGTGTTGCATTTCTTTTGATTTTTTATTTGGAAAATCAAATAGTAAGTAAATGTTATACAGAAGTCACAAAATAAATAACTATTTTGTTTATCTTTTTTTTCCTTAAATTATATTACAGCTTTTTAATAATAAAAAACAAACATCAAAACATTATATAACTCTTGAAGAAAGAGCTGAAATAATCATTTCACTTCAAAATAGATATATTACAAGAGAAATAGCAAGAACTTGTAAAATTAGTCCTTCTACCATCTCACGTATTAATAAAAAATGATGTAAACAACACATTTTAAATGATTTAAGTAAGTCTGGTCATCCATAGTTATTAAATGACCAGTTAGAAAGAACAACAATCTATCTTATTATATCCCGTAACTGTTCTACTGCCATTACCATCTAAAATCATCTTCGTGAAACTGAAAATATTGAAATTTTAGAGCATACTGTTTATCATACACTAAAAAAAATAGTTTAGTAGCGAGAATAAAACAAAAAAAACCATATCTAAAGTCCAAATATCAATAACATCATCTTGAATTTGCTAAAAAATATAAAAACTGGATCTATAAAGATTAGTCAAAGATAATCTGATCTGACGAATTTAAATTTCAGATTTTTGGATCTGATAGAAAATAATATTATTGGAAAAGAACAGATGAGTCATTAAAAAGTCATCATATTAAACTTATGGTAAAATTCAGTGATGAAAAAGTAATGATATGGGATTATTTCACCTTTTGCGATGTCAGTAACTTTTGTAAGATCGATAAGAACATGAATAGTATATTATATCAACAAATTCTTGAAGAAGATCTTATGAATACTATTGAAGAACATGGGTTAGCTATCAATGAGATCATTTTCCAACAGGACAATGATCCTAAACATACAGTCAATTTGACAAAAGAGTGGTTTGATAATAATAATATTACTATTTTAGATTGGCCAGCACAATCACCTGATCTAAATCTAATTGAACATTTATGGAATGAAGTAGATCATTACCTTTGATATCTTTCTGGATCAATTTCAGGTACAGAAGACTTATAGAAAAAAATATAGCTAGTTTGGGAGGAAATTGATGTGAATTATTGTATAAATTTAATTCGTTCTATGCCAGAAAGAATTTGTAATATAATAAAAGTACATGGTAATTATACTAGATGGTAGTATATCAGGTATAGTTAAAAAATAAAAAAATATGATATTTTTATTTTATATTGAGGGTTATATAAATTTATATTAAAAATAAGCAAATGTAATACAACACTAAAAATTAAATAAATATTACGATTGTAATATAATTGGTTTAATTATCCACATTGAATTTATTATATTTAAGTTATTTGTATATATGTAATTAAATCTATCAACTATAATTTAATATTCTTAAGTCTGTGCAAAGATATCGCGATTTGATAATTTTTAATTTTGTATTACATTACTTTTGATCGTCACTGTATATATTAAAGTATTATCATCTTGAAAAATATATTGTGAATTGTTTTCTAAACTATTATAAAAGAGTAAAAAAGTATTTTCTAATATGTTTATATATATAAAACCTGTTAGTCTACCTGAACCTTGAATTAAAGGACCAATTTTATTTTTCACAAAATATCATCATATCATAATCTCTTGATTTTCATATTTTACAGTTGGAATTAAGTAACTTACATTATATGTATCATTTTGAAATAACATAAAGCAAGATTCATTACTCTAAATAATAAAATTTCACTCATCATTTCAATTTCTTCTTTCACAATATCATTCTAGTCTTTTTTTTACAATTTAGTTCAGAAATAAATGATTCTCTCTTTTCAGCTTATCCATAAAATCTCTCAATATATAAAGTACACTTTATAATACTAGAAGATACTGAAATTGATAAAGATTCACTAATTTTTTTGTCATTTCCTCTAATGATTATTGCTAATCTTTCTTAACTAATTTTACAAGACTTTTAATTTCTCTTTCTGTGAGTTTTGGTGATCTTCCTGAATGTGGAGCATCTGTAACATTTCCTGAATTTTTATATTTTATTATAGTGTCATGAATAGTGATTTTAGAATGCTCAAGAATTTCTTCAATATTTCATTCACTATGGTCTTCTTTCCAGAGACCTATAATCTCTCCTTGTTCAAACTCAGTAAGTTCACGCCTTTTGGATATTGCAAAAGAAAAAAAATTTTTATTTTCAGGTAGCTGAAGTCAAGAGCTGTATGAAAAAAAAATTTTATTTATTTATGCTTAATAGTTTTGATATCTCATTTTAAAAGGTAATGATCTGTAATCTTAAATCAGGTGGTCGGTGACTTTTGATCAGGAAGTATACCTTAAGGCGAGATATAAACACTGTAGGTTCCTAATCAACATCAGATCTAAAATAAATAAATTATCTAATGAGTTTTTACTAAATTCCTAAATTGTTTCAAACACTCAGATTTCTTAGCAAGTTAACTCTCTTAAAGAATATGAGCATGCTTTGGTCATTAAGAAGCACATCCAACTTAATGTTATTTGCAACTTTTCATGCAAAGAACTCACCAGCAAAAACCTTTATAGGATCATAAATACTGAAGGACTTGTCGCATTCATCTCCAAAATCTTTCGCTATTTTCTCACCAGTATTTATGAATAATAATATCATGAAAACAATAAATTAAGTTTGCGCAGCCTTTGCTTATTTACGATTTATATATTTGAACGATATTTTCTTTTCTCGTACAGTGACAATATTTCATGTTAATCATATAAAATACAGAAGATAAAAGACTAATTATTGCAAAATTAAGATTCTGATTTGCTTGGTTTTACTAATGAAAACTAAGCAGTGTTTATTATTTTTTGTATAACATAAATTATAAGTACAAGCTTAAAAAATAATAAATTCACATAATAGCATATAAAATGATAATTTTATTTTTAGTATCAGTTATTCAACATAAAAGTAATAAATTATAATTTTTTCAAAATATGTAACATCAGCTGTATTATTTTAAAGTTTCTTTTCTTGATCATATTAAATTAAATTCTGGTTTATAATGCATGTAGTATTTATTTTTGCTTAAAAATAGTCACTAATTTCAATTATGTTTCAATAAATCTGAATATTATATATCCTCAGTTAACTTAATATATAAATCAGAAAACTCATTCAATGCCAGTAGAAAATTCGCCAAGCTTCTGGCATCGTGTTGAATGTGGTGACACAATCTTGACCTCATAATTTGTTTGTTCAATACGAATACGCCCCACATACGTTTACGTGTGGCTTATCTGAATAAATTACGAGGCTTAGCTAATTATCTTTATCGTGTTTTTAAAAGCCCCGGTTTATTAATATCAAATTCGGTGAAAACCGATGAACATCAATATTTGAGTTTATAATCATTACACTTAAAAGTTTTTTCCTGAAAATTAATTGTTTTTGAAACATCGTTTATTTTAATTTCTATTTCATTTTGCAGCTTTGCACCGTGGAATAAAAAATGCACAAAAAATCTAGAGCTATATTATTCATCATCAATTGGTTGATTTATTTTATGCAGGTAAATAAATCAAAATACATGTAAATTCTATTTTTGGTGGTTTTTCTAAATTCTTTTTTTTTGTGAATCAAAGGTTACTGTAGCTCAGGATAAAGTGTTAAATGCAATAGTAAATGTGGATTCGCAAAACACTTGGTACACATGTAGTTCACAACCAACGAATTCAATTAGTAAGAAATTTTAGTATTTCTGCAGACCGATGACTCTGAAAAATAAATAATAAAATTTGAAATCATATACATATAGTATACGATTTATCAGTGACAAACGGCAAACAATCCCCCAAACCACCAGATTTTGGCAAACAAAAACTCGGCTTTATCTACGAAGCGACTAGCTCCTCCATGAATGGTGTGATAACCGCGGTACTTAACTCGACAAATCTCGAATCGTACCTAGACCCAAATGCGAAAAAAATTTATATTCGGGTCGCTGCATCTTGTTACGTTCAACAGCCGGAAATAGTGGCGGTTACTAGTTGTAATATTGATAAACAGTGGGATGTGTATACACCGTTATGCCTTGCTGTGACAAATCCTAATAAGAGACCTATACAATTTGAGTTGTCGTTATCTTTTGAACCCGATCCTAACGTTTCAAATAATACATCAGAATTAACATCGACGACAACAGCGACGACAATATTATCCATCACCCCGTCGTTAGTAACAACATCGGGATCAAATCTTCCTTCTTTACGTGGATTACCTTCATCTTCAGAAGGAAAATCTTTACCTTACGCTCCTTCTAATACACAATCAACAGCGACAACCACCACAACATTTAGCGATGGTTCAAGAGTCGTTTCGTTATGTGAACGAATGGATTTATTTGCAATTTCCATTTTATTGATCGTTGCGTCAATGCTTTTTTAAGTGTATTTTTATTGAATTTGTACATACTTGATCTGTTTTATTATTTAATGTATAAAATTTGAAATTCGTATTGTTGCTATTGCATAGCCATTTTGAGATTTGATAATTGATTTTATCCATACACTTTTTTTATGCGATAAAATAAAGCAAAGCATATATAATACAAATAAATAAAGTAAAATGTTTGATGCTGTTATAATCAGCAGAAACGTATTAAAATAGGAAAATTGGATATGCATTATCAAAAATTCGGCACATTTTTGTCAAACTTTATTAACAACAGCAAACTGCCAAAGAACAGTTCCATCCTTTTCCACTAAAACGAAAACTTGCATCAGCGAGATACAGTGACTCACAAAAGAAATGCAACACGAAAAGTTTTACGAAAAGAAATTCTAGTGACTCTAACATCGATTCAGAATACCTAGTTCCTATACTCATTTTAAAGCTAATAACCTAGA